TTTTACCTTTGGTATTTGCCTTACAAAGTTAATAGAATCGTATCTTTCTTTTCACATTGAAATGCTCACATTGGAAGTACTTTTGGCCCCTAAGAGCTCTTCCTCTGATTGGATTATTTTCCCCAGAACCACTATTTAAGGTGAGCACTCAGGCCAGCCAGGTCTCATTCCTCTTTGGGCTGCACTCTGGCTTTCTCTACCATGACCTCACATCCTTTGTCCCATTCCCCCTTTTAGCTTCTTTTTGCGTTTTATCTTCTCTCATTAGAATGTAAACTCTATGAGGGGCAAGAGCTGTCTTTCCATTTGTGTTTGTATTCTCAACACTTATCACAGTGCTTTGGCACATAATAAGCACTTGATAAATACTTGCTGACTTCCTTTTATGATATCAAATTACCTATCAATGTTGGTGGGGAACATGAGTGAAATTATTTTGACACAGTGGGGACATCAGAACTGCATATTCAAAAGATCATAGCTATAGAGCTCTAGGCAAACATTGAAATATTATATAACTGCTGTTATTATTATCATCACATCATCATCATCTAATCCAATCCTCTCATTATTATAGATGAGGAGACTGAGACCCAAAGAGGCTAGTTGATTTCCCCAAGGCCATACAGACATCTTATAAGGTAATAAGTATGTGAGGCATGATTTGAATTCAAGTCTTCTGACTCTAAAACTCATATGCTTTCCACTGTAGTATGTTGCCTCTCTTTAGATAAACAGACAGACAGACAGACCATTCATTTTTTGTAGCATTAAAGGTTTATAAAGCTCTTTCCTTACAATAATCGGGGGAGGGTACATATACCCAAAAGTACAAGGTATCCCAAAAGTCTGAGTGCAGTTAAAACTGCAGAGGTATTATCTACTTCTATTTTATAATTCAAGAAACTAAAGTTTAGGGAAGCTAAGTGATTTATCTAGAATCACATTGCTAATTACTATCAAATCTAAGATTCTGTTTGGAAATTCTTGGTTAACATCTACCTTGAGTATCAGGAAAAATGCTAATATAAATATTACTCATATACTAAATGAATAACCTCCTCCTCCCCTTGCCTGAAGGCTCAAAATAAAGCTACATAACTTCAGCAAGGATTTATCAAACATCTACTATGTGCTTAGCACAGTGTCTGGAGCACAGGTGCTTAATAAATGTGTACCAAGTGGTAGGTATAGTGCTAGGTTTGGGAGAGATGCAAAGACAAAAATGAAAACAGTTGTTTTCTTGAAGATGTTCACATTCCATGGGGGAACAGCACATGGTCTGTTAAATAAAATATCAAATAGACATATAAACTAAACACAAATTTTTTTTTGAGGGGGGGAAAGCAGTAACAAGTGGGAAGGATAAAGAATGGCTTCATGTGGGAGGTGGTATCTGAGTTGATCTTTATGAAGTTGTAGGAATTTCAGGAGTTGGAAGTGAAAAGGAAGAGCATTTCAGGCATAAGGATCCGCCTGGGCAAAGGCAAGGAGGTGGGAGACAGAATATCATGTGAATAACTTTAACCATAGATCATAGGATTATAGATTTGGAGCTTAAAGGGACCATGGAGGTCATAGCCCTTCTCATCACCCTAATCTTGGTAACACTATGGTAAGAGTTTATATTCCTTATCCTCAGAGGTGTGTGTACAGGGTGAACCTTGGCCTAACTTTTTTGTATTTTGTATCTCATTTTTAAAGTTTGCATATGTAAATATAGTTGAATTGTTGATTTTTTAATTAAAAAATTAGGTTTGGTTAAGTTTAAAATTGTTTATTAAGTTTTATTTTCTTTACATTGATGAAAAATGTCATTTATGATGGAATATTCAATAAAAGCTTTAATAATAAAATTTTCTGGGTGCATCCACTAATGCAAGGTGATGTGCATATGTATTCTTTTCTTCCTTCTACTCAAATCCTTCTCTTCCTTTAACTTCTTAGGTTGTTGGGTTTCAAAATTCCTAAGCCTTCCAAGTTTTTACAGTTTTCAAGAATCTTACATACATTATTACACTTCATCCTCACAAAAAATCCTGGAAGGTGGGTAGTAGATTTATTGTTATTCCCAATTTACAAATGATGAAACAGGTCAGAGAAGTTGTGACTCAACCTAGCTAACACAAATAAGTGACCAACTCTGAAATCAAACTTGAGCAGTCTAATTCAGAACCTAATGGTTCTTTCATGCTGAATGGCATTTTAAAATACATTATTATGAAGTTGAAACAAAATGGAAATAGCTAGATGATCTAGATGAATAGAGAGTATAATAAAGAATGAAGTAAGGTCATAAATAAGGATAAGGCTATTACTTGGATTAATTTACACCTAAGTGATGTAGGGGAAAGAATGTTGAAGTCAGTGTATCTAAGTTGCAGGTTCTATTTTCTCGAGAGATCTTGGACGATGTCATAGAACCATTCTCTGCCTCAGTTTCCTCATGAGAAAAAATGAGAGGGCTGTACTAGATAGGTCTTAGTAGGATTAACATCTCTTCCAAGTCTAAATCTGTGATCCTACTCAGTGATGTTCTAGCAGTAAGGAATCTTTGAACACCAGAAGAGAACTATTTCCTCTTTTGTGTGGGTGGACACACACATGAAACAGGATGAATAAGCCATCTTCAACTACTTATTTACAAAGACATGCTGGCTAGAGAGAGTAAAATAAAATATTACAGTATTAGTGTTGCAAAAACATTTTACAAGCTAAATAAAATTTTCTTTGACACAAAACACAAAACCTTCAAAGTGTAAGTCCCATTCAAACGGAAAGGAAATTGGTAAGTGAGAAAAACCACTGCAAAGTCCTATTTCTCTCCATAGTAATAATAATGTTAACATAGTGCATTGAGATTTAAAAGGGGGTTCCTCACATCACAGTGAGATTGGTACTACAAATTGTATGGTCCCTACTTCAGGATTAGAGGCTAAGAGAGAGATTATCCATGGTCATAGAGCCAGTAAGTATTTAAGTCAGGATTTCAATTTAATTAAATAAACATGTATTAATAGTCTACCATGTACAAGGTGCTGGAAATAAAGATGTTAATACCTTCAAAAAGTTTATGTTCTATTGGATTTGAACTCCGGTCGCTTCTGGTTCTTAAGTCCAGTGCTTGTTTCACCATATACCCCTCTTGCTTCTGTATAGTATCATAGCATTGTCATCTGATGACAATGCTGTCCAAACCAGAGTGTATAACTGGCCAAGTTTTAAATCCAGACCAGTCACGCAAATTGTTCTGTCTCTGAACATATCTGTTGTTGTTGAGTCATTTTTCAGTCATGTCCAATTCTTTGTGACCCCATTTGGGATTTTCTTGGCAAAGATATTGGAGTGGTTTGCCATTTCCTTCTCCAGCTCACTTTACAGATGAGGAAACTGAGGCAAACAGAGTTGCCCAGGGTCACACAGCTAATAAATGTCTGAGGCCAGATTTGAACTCAGGAAGATGAGTCTTCCTGACTCCAGGCCCAGCATTCTATTCACTAGGACACCTACCTGCCCCCTTGGGCATCTCAGTTAACTTTTTAATCCCACCTTCCAAGACACAAAGAAGGATAAATGGGCACTAGCCCACTTTGGTAATTGTCTCAAAATGAATGGTACATACTGAGTTGAGTTGAAGGTGGCAAAAGATGGAATGCTGGGCGTGTAGTCATGAAGATGTGCTCAAATATGGCCTCAGTCATTGTGTGACCCTCAGGAAAGTCTCTTAAACTCTAGGTACCTTAAGTTTCCTCATCGGTAAAATGGTGATAGTAATAGCACTTAACTCCTAGGGTTGTTATGAGGATAAAATGAGATTATAGCTGTAAAGTGATTTGCAAATTTTAAAGTACTGTATAAGTGCTATTATTAATCTAGCTGTTTTTGTCACAATCAATAAATGTCAGTCCCCTAGATACACTGGAGCGTGAAAAAATATGAAAATAGAGGGTGCAAAACATGAAATTGGTTAAAGGAAACATGAAAGCCATTATAGTGTAATGGCACACCAAAATGGGGAAAATGAGGAAAGGCAAGAAAAAATGGGGAAATGGAATACAAAAGTTATGAAGCTGTCAAGGTGTAGGGCCGTTACACTGGATAAAAGAAAACAATGTAACATAAAGACGAAGCTATTGAATACCTAATGTTGCCGGTTCTAATTATTACTTCTACATCCCTGGAGAAAAAAATACGTTGAAAAGGAAACTATGCAGATTTGCGCAACATTCATATAGACAGATACGAATGTAGACAGATTGTAAAGCCTTACAGTTAGGGAGCGTGGTAATACTGCTACTGTTACTGCAGGAGTTGCTAGTGTAGAAGCGCCCGAGGGTCCAGGCGGCTGGAATAGGGTTAGGTCTGTGAGTGAGGGGCTATGGAGACCAAGCACAACACCGGTCTTTGAGTCTTTGAGAGGGGAGGGAGAGGAAGACCACTTGGGGAGGAAGAAGAACAGGCGCAACTTTCGGCATGCTGAGTTTGGGAAAGGCGCCAGGGCCGCCCTGGAGCATCTGGGGGAGAACAAGAAGGAGTGGACGCCCAAGCGCCCCAGCGGCGCCCTGCAAGGCCTCTCCCCTGGTCTGCGAGGTTGGGGAGCCCAGTGTTCCCCGGCGGGGCGGAGGCGCAGCGCCCTTGCTGGGCGGTGGTTGTCATGGTTTCCGGGGTCACATGGATGGGCGCTGCGCCCCCTCCCTCCTGCGGGAGCGGGCGGGGCGTGGGCTGGGCTGGGCTCTCGAGGGGGTAGAGGAGAGGCAGGGCGGGCGCGGGAGGAGCTGGAGATGCTGCCGCCCCTCCGGGGCCGTAGTTCCCTGACAGCAGCTCGCACGGAGCCAGAGCGCGGGCAGGCGAGCCGTCGGTGCCCAGGGAGCGGCCCTCACCTGCTCGCGGCTCGCTTCGCTGCCGCAGGTCTAGGCGCGCTGCTGGAGACAGCCCTCGTCGCCCCGGGGAAGGACGCGGTGCCCGCGGAGTCCCGCTGCCCCCGGGGGCAGGGGCGAAGGTGGCCGGCGCAATGAGCAGCATCGAGATCCCCGCGGGGCTCACGGAGCTGCTGCAGAGCTTCACCGTGGAGGTGCTGAGGCACCAGCCCGGGGACCTGCTGGAGTTCGCCCTGCAGCACTTCACCCGCCTCCAGCAGGAGAACCGGCATAAGGGAGGCCCTGGCGCTGGTGACCTGGCAGCGGCCGGAGCCGCTGGGGGCGGCACCCCCAGCCGGGGGGTCAACTTTGCAGAGGAGCCAGTGCAGACCGAGTCCGAGAACGGGGAGGAAGAGGACGACGAAGAGGAGGAGTCCGGGGAACCAGGGGCATTCAACGGTGAGCACTTCCCTTCTTTGACAGTGCCATGGATGGACCACAGACTCCCCCATCCCTGTGTCGTCTCCCCCCGCCTCCTGTCGCCTTCCTTTACCCCGTCCACCCTTTGCTATCTTTCGCTTTCCTTTCATTCTTCACTTCTTGCGCCCACATCATTCCCCCATTCTCCTACCTTTCCATCTCCTACCTCCTCGTCACCCATTTCTGTCACTTCTCTTCGCCCACCTGCCATTTCTGCTCTCCCTGGTGTCACTACCTCCTTCTTTTCCCCCTTCATCTCTGGGTTTGGAAGACGTGAAAGAAAGAAGCCTCTCCCTTGTCCTTCAGTCTTTAATTTCCTGAGTTTAGAGAGGGGCTGGAGAGGAGACAGCCAAGGAGAGCGCTTGCTAATAACAACTTTTAATGGAGTGGAGAGAGCTGTGATAAAAGATAAAAACCCGTTTTGTGCATGGAGCGAACTGGGGAAACTTGCTGGCCCCCGTTGCCCTTTTTTCGGGGCTTCTGGAATGTCCAGAGAAACAGGATTGACATAAAATCCTTTGTTGCAGCTGTCAGTACCAGACTTACCAGAAAGCAAGGAGAAAGGAATGAGAAGCATCTTGTGAAAATGACTTAAGTGCCTTTGAAACACCATAATTCATTACTTCCCATTTTATCCGTTCTGTTAGATTTTTGAGCTTGGGACAAAAGGAAAGGACCTTTCATAGTCTGCAACCCTTGAGGCCCTTAGAAGGGAAAAAAAGGGAAACAGCTTTTTCAATTTAAGTCATACGTTGAATGTAGCGTTGTTTTCTACATAATGTGAGGGGAAAAAAACACTCCAGGTAGGTAGCTTTTAAAGCTTTAGAATGGAAAGCTGGTGAGTAATTGTAAGGGACTGTGCCAGACACCAAAACTAGGAAGAGAATGAATGGAAAAGAAAAAGGCATTTTTTGCAAATAGCTGCTCCTGGCAAATCCCACCCCTTCTGCTTCCACTCTTCCAGCTCTACCACATACTCACCCTCTTCTGTTTACACAATATGACTGAATCCCATCTATTTCACTTCTTAAACTTAGAATAACATGCTGTGTATGCATTTTCTTTGTGGTGTGTGGTACATATACAAACAGCATTGCATCAGGTTTTATTTTCTCTGTTAGAATATTGGCGTTGTGTATAGGTCTGCAGTGGATGCATTTTAATATGGGTCTTTTCAATTTCTTGCATGTTTTCAGAAAGACATTTCCTTTCTTTACAGGATCATATATTGAAACGTATTATAAGGTTACTGAAAAGTCCATTATTTCAAGCTTATTCATAATATGCTAAAATTACTGCTGTATGATGAGAAAGAGAAGCAAGTTTTTTCACCTCACCCTTTTTCATTGGGGGAAGTTGTTTGTGACCCTTTTAATGTCTGTTAGCCCAGAGCAATTAGCATTGTTTTTTGTGGAGGGAGTTGTTGTGACCCTTTTAATGTCTGTTAGCTTAGAGCAATTAGTCTTGTGGTGTCTTTTTTTTTCCCACAGGAATTAAGTTTTCTTAGCTGGAACAAGAGAGTAAAGGAAAATGTTGTGCTTTTATTTTATGGGAAAGAAGAACAAATAATAGATAAAATCAAAAATGCAGAAGCAACTAATGCTTCTATTATTCTCTCCTTGGAGGAAATTAGAAAAAGGGACTAGATGCTCAGATTGCGAAACTGGAAAGCCAAGCACAGAAGGAAGATTTGGTGGATGAGTATAATATATATTTTCTAGATGTATTCTAATATTAACAATTATTTAGAGTTGCAGAATGCTTTTTTTAAGAGTCAGTGTGGTTAAGTGGATGGATAGCTAACTTTGAAGAAAGGAAGACCTGGTTTAAAATCCTGCTGCCTGTCATACCTGCTAAATGTGTGACCATGGGTAACTCACTTAACCTTTCAGTACACCTAGACAAGTCTCTAAAACAATAAATTATAAAGAAATTGTTGGTCTGCATGGTCAGGGCAGTTTTTACACAGATGAAAACAAGTTTGGAGGGAAAAGAAAACTTTTTTTTTTTGTTTATAGCATGTTGTGCATATTATTTCATTTTTATCTTCGCAAAAACAGATCAGCTTGTTGATAAAGAAAGATATCCATGTTTTAGAGACTAGAATCAAGTTGTGAACTCCTTGAGGGCAGATGTATTTTAGTGCCATCGGTTGCCAATCCATAGTAGGAATTTAATAAGTACTGAGTAACATGTTTGAACACAACCTGTGATTTCATTGGTATAAGAAATTCCCTCTGCCAATACTGATCAGCACTTGCTTTGCAATTTATATTTAGATTAATCAGAGAGTTGCCCAGACCTCTGAGTGGTTGTGATTTGCCCAGAGTAACACTGCCCTTCCAAAAATTAAATTACTTTCCCATCTAAAATTCACTGGCCTTAATTATTTGCATCATAGCATACTAAAAGAATTGGCAAGAGTTTTTCCATTTTGAGAACAGAAACATGAATAGGGAAATGTCTAGAGACTGTGAAAGGAAGGTAGGGTAGTGTCATTAAAAATAAGTCCAAGGAATGAGTCTAAAAAATCATGGTCCTATAAATTTAACTCTTGCACCCAGAAAAATTCCAGGAAAAAAATCATAATGTAACTTTGCAAATCACCTTGAAGACAATTGAGTATTGAATAAAACTAGCAGGACAGAATAAAGAAGCCCAGTCCAACTAATCTAATTTGCTATGACAGAGCAGAAGGCATGTGAGATCAAAACATAATGATAGATGTAATCTAGCTTGACTTTAGCATTTAAGCCTTTCTCAAAGGACAGGCAAAATGTGTTGTTCTTCCTCCATGAAAATGACACTACTGACCTTCACTTGAAGCATTTCCTTTTCATTGTTTTTCTAGTAGTGGTGAAGAATCTGTACTCATCCATCTGTAGTCTCTCTTCTTATTCCCCTTGTTTGAAATGTTGAGTGTAATATGTGGCCATGGAACTAACTGTCTAGAGTTGGGGACAAGCATGTGACCTTGACCACACTGGTGCTGGGCTTTGACCAAATAAGCTAAGCAGCCCAGATCATAAATTGGAGAAGTGTGGTCTAGTCCAAGGCTTAGCAGTTTAAGACTATTGTGACCACAGGATAGTAGATTTAGAGGTGAAAGAGACTTCAGAGACCATCTACTACATCCCCGTTATTTATAGATGAAGAGACTGAGGCCCAAAGAGATTGAAGTCACAAAGGTAGAACATGAAAGAGGCAAAATCTACATGCAGGTCAGATCCTCTAACTCCAAAGCTTAGTGCTCATAATTTTCCTGAACCCAAAATCAGGACAGGAAATTTGACATTGGCTTTTTCTCTTTGGTTTTCACCTTGTTACGATCAGTCAGCTTTGAAATATATACCGCCTAAGAAAGCCCAGGATCCTACCCATATTTGTAGCATAGCCAAAGTTGATCCTAGAAAATTATAAATAGGTGATTTTTCTGTTTGGTACCATCCAACCTGCCTTTATCAAGCGCAGTTTCTCCATTCTGGCCTTCTTTTTCCCTAGTTCTGTACTCTTTTATTCACTACAGTTGACACATATCCTCCTTCCTCCCTTCCTCTACACTCAGCTGACTGTCAACTAATTCTTGATAATGTGCTAAATCATAATTCAGATATTAGCTGATAATGATTTAAAGTGTTACTTCCCCCAGGATAGTAAAAAAATGGAAGACTTGGCATACTGCCTCTAAAAGGCTGATGATCTCTGATCTGGACTAAGTTTTTAGGATGTATAATTGGATGGAAAGTTGGATCAGTACTGACTTGGTAAAGAAAATATTATATTAGTCATTTTGAGCTCTGATATTATTTAATATTTTCATCATTTACCTGATGGGTAAACTAAATAGCAGTGTAACATGATGGAAAACCTTAACTTTACCACTCATTATCTGTGTGAACTAGGATAAACTGTTTACTCTAATTGTACTATAGTTTTCTCAGCTATTAAATGGGGATTACAATTATTTATAACCACTGAGTTGTTGTGAATATAGAATAAGAGAATAGATTGGAAAGCATTTTAAAAACAACATTTGCATATAACTTCCAAGTTCAGTATAATGTATTTTGTGTTACAGATGTATTGGGTTTGATGTTTGTTGATCAGTACATTCTAATATTAGGATAGAAATCTCCTGTGATATTATAGGTAGGTAGATTATTGTTTTCATCAATTTTGCACATGCTACCAAGGTACAGTGAAAAAATAGTGAGTGGTATCTGGGAAAGTAGGACTGGAATTTAAAAGGACTTTTATAATTTGGAGACATGTTTAGAAATAAAATGAATTATAAGGGCAAGTGTGAGGTAATATATCTAGGAAGGAAAAAATAAACTACAAATGTAGAATGGGAAAGGACTGTAACATTTACTGCTATTGACCATGCTTTTCTTCCTGATACTCTCTTCTTCTTTGGATTTTGGTGACAATTTATGCTCTTTGTGTAACCTCTGACTGCTCATTCTGTCTCTCCCTTCACCTTCCCTCCAACCCTTAAACATGAGTGTCCTCCAGAGTTCTTTCTTTGGCTCTCTTCTTTCTTCATTCTTTCTTGACAGCCTTACCAATTCTGATAACTTCAGTTATTAACATAGCAAGTGACTACCAAAGCTTTATCTCTAGATCTTCCCAAATTTCCAGTTCCATATTTTCAGTAATCCATTGGACATTTTCATATGGTTGTCCCTCTGGCAGTTGAAACTCAACAGAATCAAAACACACTGTCCATCAGAAACATGACTTTATCTCTGACGTTTCACTTGGGATGATGACACCACCATCTTTCTGGTGAATATTTCAGAGTCTTCTTTGACTCTTTCCTCTGCCCACCACATCCAATCAGCTGCCGATAGTCCTTTGATTCTGCCATCTTATTCTTTGCAATCCCACTAGTTCACCCTTGTTTACAATTCATTGCTTCTTACATGGACTGTAAGAATAGCCTTCTGGAGCCAAGATGGCAGAGTGAAAGGAGTTTG